GAAGGGGTTCCAAACACAGTCCCTATGCAGTTTTATTTCTATTAGATATAAATAGAATTATATCAGTCAATTGATGATTGTACTCTCTTCAAACTATTGTGGTGCATAATTCAACATACTACTAACTTCTTTAAGTAGTAAGAAATGTGAAATCTGAATGAATCAATGAATGAATTACTAATAGCTTATTTCAACATTATATAACACAATTCAAAGTTCATTTATTCATACAAACATGATTGTTATAAAGTGACTATTACTTGAAATTGCTATTATTACTGATTAGACAAAGTTCAATGCAGATTATCCAAGGTTTATGCATATACACATTGTATTATTGCTATTCAGTGAAGTGGACATGAATATGAATCGGTAAATATCAATTGAACACATTCATATCTATCACTTGCATAGAGATTAATGAGAAAACATTGTGGATACCATATTTCAGCAGGTGGATTTTTCATAACCAAATCATTGATTATATTGAAGTAAATGAATAAACAGGTTCGTAGAGTGTATTACAATTTGTGGACTATACAAATATGATCAAATTTTCCGATCAATCAACTAGTGAAAGAACATCACCAGTTTCACATCCAAGATGGTTTCAACTAAAGTAATACGATATACAGTAATATATAATCGTTGTAGTTTCTATTGATTTTCAGTGGTTGTCTAACCAAAGTCTGTTGGCGACCGACTCATGATGGTTATATCATTTAGTATATTTATATGAAATCTTTGCAGTTATAACTGTATTTATTATTAATTTTCTATATCAGATGGAATATTCAGGTGGCTTGTTAAATTGTGTACAGTAATTCGCAAGAGTTTTCATCACGAATCGATATCGTTAAGAGACCCATTGAAAATTGTGTCGCCCTAAACGGCTGTTTCTTTATAGTTCAGAACTACACAGAAGTGAGTATCCATCACTTCCCACTGAATTAAACATAAGATCTCCAGTTCTTGCAATGGAAATGATGTCAAATAACCACTGAGTCGGAACTCCACGAAATCACGTAAATCACAATTTTCAACTCCAGTCACTTGATAATATAGCATGAGTAACCATCAACCGATTTAGAGATGGTGGGGAAGATTTGTAGCTGATGTGGTTGGTAATGACGGAGTATTCTTCTCTGAGCTGGATAGCTTGGTTGTGGAGCCATCATCATTATTCGTCAGCACGAACTTCATGTAGAAGTGAAGTATTCGAATTCATCCACATGTGGCTCACAACTTGTCCTGCAGACATCGATATTGATTGGCTATTGTTCAACTCTAACCAGTTATTGTTTTCTTCTTTATTTTGGTTGTATCTTCTATTCATTTCATTTTCAAATCAATTAACTCGTCACACTTTCTCACGAGAATTTCGGAAAACCCACTTCTAAATCAGTCACTAATTCCCAGTCAATTGCTAGTTATTTAGATGGATAATAGAGATTTATGCATTACGTTTGTTTTATATGATACTTAATTGAGTGTCAGCATATTCTGCTCATTTCAGTTTTATGGAAGAGTGATACTACTATTAAATATTTGACTTACAAATTCCATCATTTCTATATTTAGCTTTGAGTGTTCAGTCTGCATTAATTTCAAAGTATTATGAAGACACATACCTCTTATTAATCATATGTGAAAGTGGATGACATTATTGATGTAACATACATATGTCAAATGTCTTGATGTTCCCTAATTACTGCTGACCAATTATGACTTGTTTGTCCCGCCATATACCACATAGAGTGTGATTATGCTTAAACAGTGATTTCTTACTTAATATGCTACATGATCAGGCATTTCAAGTACATTGTTGGATTCATCTCGAGTCATAATTGAATGGTGGAATCTGACACCCATCATCGTCTTCTGATTAACCACTGGATTACGAAGGACTCAAGGATCAATAGGTATTAGGGCTTAGATTGTCCTTCATCCATCATTGTGTTGATTCGTTACGTACACTACCAGTCCGACCGACAATTCAGTGTGTGATATTTATCAAATCATCAGCTTGACCAACAAATTACCAAAAGTCGTTTCGGGAAAATATTCAACAGGTATTCATCGATTCTACCTTTTATACTATTGACTACTAGATGTCTCATCAAGGCCTGATAGTGAAACATACATCGGCGACTGAATATCAACTAAGGATGAAAACCGAATGAAGTTCACGAGACTCACTATTCTCATTTCAATTGTCTCATCGGTTATGAGTGAAATGTGGTTAATCTCAGAAATTGTTTCATCACATATCATACAATGTGAGAAACGTTATCCACCATACACACTCATTTCCGTTTTAATAAACTAACGATAAACGACAATCCATGAATCATACACTTGAATCACCACAACACAATCACTATCATGTGATCATCTCATCACTGTGGATCGAATCGCATTTGAAATCCACTGTACATTTCGACTAGTATTTAGTGTTTCGAGACGATCGATAGTGAGTGATAAACGTTGGACACGGATCATATTACAATTTGACGACACTCAGTTGAATCTGTTTCGATTGATCAGAGTCACACAAATTGAATATTATACATGACTATTCGGTTTCGACAATCACCCATATGGGGTATCTGTAGTTTGCATAGAGTTAATACTCATTCAGAAAATCCTTCACATCCAATTGTGTAGTCAAATATTTTGGAACTGAGTTACGAAATTTTATTACACGAGGATCATATTACACGACCTCATATTTTCATTTGTGATTTCCTTCCAGATTCAACTCAATCGTCACTAAATTGCATTCCATCAATTGTCATAATCTCTCAATAGAAGGGATGATACATAATTGTAAAATCGGAAAAGTGGTCAACGTGTGGACACAGGAAGTAAGCTGCAATTCGGATAGTTCACAAGAGGCATCAATTAATCAGCGACAGTATTCAAATAATGATGATATTTTTGCATTGAATGTAAGCTGAAATAATCTATGTGTGCTTTCTTCGTCATCATGGTACTTATCAATGTATAAATGCGATAAAATCAAGTGACATTTAAAATTGCTCGATTGGCAACTATTTTAAAGATTGTAGTGAACGAAAACACAAGCGGGGACAATCACGTGTATACAAAATTACCAAATCACTTAATAAAATCTGAGAACCATACAGTAAATACTTCATTTACAAAATGTCAATCAATCGTCACATACTTCATTGTTCTTTTACTTCCACACCAACTATTCTCTTTTCTCGTTCACTTTTCCACAGTCTTCTTAACCTTCTTCCATTAGTCATTTCACTTTCGATTGATAATAAATACTACTCATATCTGTCGATGTAAGTAGCACACACCATAAGATGAAAAATATTGAATGCCAAAATGGTTTAGTATATGATCTCCATGGTGAATACACTGCACATCCTAACCAATCAGACGAAATTGAAATGTTCGCTCCGAATAAACACAAGTTTATAGGGGAGATTTTCTCGACCTTGTTATTGCTTAACTGTGGTAATATTTAGTAATGCTACTAATACTTATGATCTGTTATTAAAAATTCATTTAATATGTGAAAATACTGATAATTATGTATATTTTGTAAAGATAGCTGACATTGGTTGGTTGAACATGAGTACACCCATGAGAGGCATGCTCCAGACCCAATTTCCTGATTTACAATAGATTAATTATTTATATTCATATGTACCGACTGATAATGTATACAAGTTGGTTGCAAGTATCGAATTTTGCATAATTTGAGAAACCAACTTATATATAATACAGTCATTATAGCTTGAAGGACTAAATAAAGTCATCGATATTTCGTTGTGCTTTATCATTAATTTGTTTTAAACAATCTACCATATTCATTCTCACGTTTCTAACATGATTCGATATTATCTGTTTTATATCAGCAGAAGCTGTAGGAATTCAAGTCAATAATACTAGTTCTAGTGAAAAGCAGTGACCAATGAAGTTTACCCGTGCCTATAGTGAGATAGTAACTCACTGAAGACAACGGTAGATGTGTCGCTCAATTTCGTGGATCAGTTGAAGTTAGACATTAACACCGTTGGATGCTGACTCAGTGGTCTAGAAGTTCAAATCTTGAGAGGTGCGATCGCGGGTGTGCCCTGGTGAGGAGTCTCACAATCGGATGAAACGGCCATCTACTGCTTCCAGGTTCTCCATGGTGGTCTAGCTTAATAAACTATTTTATCATATCATCATACTCTTTGTTTATTCGTTCTTCTTTACAACATCATTTATACCATACAAACTGATTATCTATACATTTTGTATAAACCAATTTTCATGATTATCAGTTTCATAAGTCTATATTTCAAAGTTTTATTTTGAGAATTTTATTCAAACTGAATTTAGGTTGATTATCTTAAATAAAAGGACAATGGTCATGTTATGATTAATTGATTCATCCAAGAGGATCCATACATTGTCAGAGTGATGAGATAAAATTAAATATGAAGTAAAATTCAAATACAAAGGTTGAAATTAAAAGTTTGTAGTTACACACTTACTTACTTGCGTGCTTATTCACTTGTTTACTTACTTACTTACTTGTTTTTTCGGTTAGCATTTTTTAGAGGTTTACTTTTCTACGGAATGGGGTCACTAGCCCTATAGTATCGTAAATCACAACTCATAGTAGAAATATATTTTGCTCTAGTCACTTGAAATTCAGTCATACACACATAGTCCAAGTTTAAAGAAGCAGGAAAGTTGATTGATAAAGATAACTACTCTAGTATAATAAAAACTCTAATTCATAAGTAAAACAAGTGACTGATAACTCAGCTTTCCCACATCTTATTAACATTTCATAATCACACTATACATGAACATTCGTATATAGTACAAATATTTGCTAGCCCGCGATCTAACTCCAGTGAAATCGTTTCTGATTACTATTGAAATATACATATAGTCATTCCTCATATATAATTATCGACCTAAATCGCGTTAGTGAATAACGGAATTAAATAAGCCAAGTACGAAAATCGATTTCCCAATACATATATCTTGTATAATCGTTGATCGAAACAGATAATCAAAGAGATGTCACGAAGGATGCTAAGAAGAGAGGGTGAAACCACTCACAATGGAGAATGCATGTGAACCAACTTCGTTTAATCAAGCGTTAATCAACATTCATAGTCACATAAAAACAAGCAACAGACATGTGGTAAGATAAGAAGTCTACAAACATATGCTTACATAAAAACAGTCAAGATTGATAAATGAACAATTAACAAGGTCAAGATGCAACTCAAGTAGAATGGATAAATTGGTCTGTTTAGAAGCTAGAATAATGTATATGGGCTTAACATAGTAACTGACACTATATGATATTAAAGTTTCAGAAATGAGAAAACTATGCAAAGAGTAAAATAAGTCACAACATCTTCCATGATACATTGATCACTGAAATATGGCTGTTTATTCAAAGAGAGAAAAAAACTTGAGGACTCTTCTTCAACAAACATTTCCCTAGAAATACATATTCAATCTAATTTAGTTAGAATTACTAAATTAACTGAAGATTAAACATTAGATAAAGTGGCGTTAGTTGAATTCAAGTTTTTTAAACCTGTCTTTGAAGATAACCACATTAGTGTTAAAAATAAATTCCACCAACAATTGTAAAGAACTCCAGCTGCTAATACTAAATCCATTTGTTGATATCTAAGTGTACCACCTCCAAATACCATCTTCATTTGAAATAATAATTTCTATAAAAGAGAATTTATAAATATTTAAGTATATGTACAATGAGATGAGGAATCATTGTAAAACTATTCATCATACTATCATTCAATTAATAAGACTTTTGATTCAGTTGATCAGGTACTAAATTCATGACCATGTTAAATACCTTACATAGAAGATTCTAGAATATTAAGGTCACTTGATACCTTATAAATAGACAACGACTTCTATACATAAACTAGTTGTTAAGGTGTATATTGATTTTTATTTTCCTCTTTCCAATTTCTTTTTTGATTTGATTGTGTTAGACTAAACATTAACTACGTAGTCAGTATTGAATGAATTTATGCACCAGTAATATCATGAACAAATTGAATAACTTATTTTAAAATATACACTTCTCAGCAAAATATGAGTTTCAGTCAGCTGTCAAACAATTTGAAAGTATGGGTGTTGTGGAGATTTTTGGATTTTAGTAAGATCACGGATTGAGCTAAGTTAGGGAGTCCTCATCAGTACGCAACCACAACCCCGTCGTACTCAGAACATTTGATCTTGTATGATGACATATAACCTCTAGACCACTTAGCCAGGATTCAATGATATACAAGTTTAACTTCAATCAATCTACGACATTATGTGACTAACTTCTCAAGTTCAGATGGAGTGTTGAAAAGCCTTCAAATTCCTAATAGTATTGATTATATAATTATGAAAGAGGAATAAAAAATGGATCTATGATGTAAAATTGACTTTCAAACAATATGTGTTCGATAATTAGTTGAGGATGTTCCACCAAATGTAAAATACAGTTGACTTACAAAGACTGTGAATGGAAATGCAAGTGCACCAGCAATAATTAGTACAATCTAATAAAAGATAGAGAGAAATAGTATCGAAATAAGTTTCAGGTTATCGAAAATCAATAAAGCGAGACAACTATTGATTTAATATTCAACAAAAAATAAGTATAAGCAATTGAACATATAATCTCATGAATCCCTTTCTACTAAACGTCGATTGACAGACCGACTTTCATTAACACAAACATCAACTCAGTTTTTGAATCAGTCGAATGACAAGTGAAGTTTGTTTTGAGATAATGGAGTGGATTTTTATTCTCCGATCTGAATAGTTAACACTGAAATCATCCAGCTCAAAGAATGAAACTTCACGAAAATTTTCCTTTCTTCATTGATTAACATCAATCAAGTGAATATTATCAATCAAAAGTGCCATTGAACAACTATTTTGTATCAATTTCAATAGTTGGGATCATGAGTCAGTTGAAGATAGACTACCATGGAAAATCTAGAAGCATTGGACGGCCGTTTCGTCCTATTGTGGGACTCCTCAGCAGTGCGTATTCACGACCCAACCCCGCGGGATTCGAGCCAAGGACCTCGCGCACGAGCACTTAACCACTAGACTACTGAGCCGGCATCCAACGATGTTAATGTCTAACTTCAACTAATCCACGAAATTTACTTCAATAAAACATATTATTCCTAATTTGCCTTCTATTCAATACTATCAGTTAGAATTTCATTGAATATGTGATTTCTTCATTAGAACTGAAATTACCTCACCTAAAATGTTTAATCATTGTGTTAGCCCATTCATAACAAATGATAACATCGAGTTAATTACATAATCGGAATTAAATATGAGTTTTGTAAAGACAAACAAACAAAAACAACAACAAACATTTACATTATTCTTTTTCATCGTGAAGTAAAGAATCTGTCCAATTAATAGTATCAAATCAATAATTAATGTAACAAATAGATTGATGGTGTTATGTTTACTGAAATCATATTGTAGAACAGTTATGGTGCAAACAATTAAATTAATGAATGTCACCGATACAGCGAAGATAAAATAGACAACATTTTCGATGTATAAGGTTGCATCCGATGCAATTGCAATGGTTGAAAATAATGTCTGTAATAATAATAATAATAATAATAATAATAATAAGAGTAAAAGTAATAATAATTGTGGTAATTATAATTATAATAGTGATCAATACTTGGTACAATTATACTACTCTTAGATAGATAGATAGATAGATAGATAGATAGATAGATAGATAGATAGATAGATAGATAGATAGATAGATAGATAGATAGATAGATAGATAGATAGATAGATAGATAGATAGATAGATAGATAGATAGATAGATAGATAGATAGATAGATAGATAGATAGATAGATAGATAGATAGATAGATAGATGTGTAAATTTTAATCGAACTTAAAATAAATTTTTACCTACCATCAATATTAGATACATTACATTGTATGGATATTTCCGTGATAATGCTGGAACAAACATCCAAATTGATTGAAGAACTAAGTAGATAGCACTGTAGATAGAGTAGAATATTGATAAAAATATTAACTCAATGATAAATATAATAATATCATTTATAGTTACAGATTACATCTTGATATAATGGAGAGAACGTGTAGCTTTGAGTGGAGATCGTGCTGTAAGGACGTATTGGGAAACAGGTTCACATGTCTATTTAGTCAGCACTTTGTGAAATAACATTTATTCTTGATGTTGCTTCACGGATTGGGAATTAGACCAGTCGGACAAGGATTCAGAAAGTTGCTCCTCATCAAAAATTACACGCTTCTGTCTAAGAGCCCGCATAGTATTACATTCTTTTCATATATATGACAATGAATAATTATGCAGAAATGGATTTACCATCTCCACTTCACTGCTAATAGTTTGAATACTTTTTTCTGGTTAGCGTTTTTAGCGTGCCTCAGAAGATAGTCAATATCATACGGAATTCTTACGATGGATTAAACTGCAAAATCGTTCATGGAGGACAGTTGACAAAGTCGTTCGAAGTAAAGAGCGGTGTCAGGCAAGGTTGCTTACTCTCACCCTTTCTATTTCTCCTGGTGATCGACTGGATCATGAAGACATCAACATCTGAAGGGAAGCACGGGATACAGTGGACAGGTAGGATACAATTGGATGATCTAGACTTCACAGATGATCTGGCTCTTCTATCGCACACGCAACAACAAATGCAGGAGAAGACAACCAGTGTAGCAGCAGCCTCAGCAGCAATAGGTCTCAATATGCACAAAGGGAAAAGCAAGATTCCCCGATACAACACAGCATGCAACAATCCAATCACAATTGACGGAGAAGATTTGGAAGATGTAAAAACCTTTACATATCTGGGCAGCATCATCGATGAACTCGATGGATCTGATGCAGATGTGAAGGCACGGATTGGCAAAGCAAGAGCAGCATATTTACAACTAAAGAACATCTGGAACTCAAAACAATTGGCAACCAACACCAATGTCAGAATTTTCAATACAAATGTGAAGACAGTTCTACTGTATGGGGCGGAAACCTGGAAAACTACGAAAGCCATCATCCAGAAGATACAGGTGTTTATTAACAGTTGTCTACGCAAAATACTCCAGATCCGTTGGCCGGACACTATCAGCAACAACCTACTGTGGAAGAGAACAAATCAGATCCCAGTGGAGGAAAAAATCAGGATGAAGCGCTGGAAGTGGATAGGACACACATTGAGGAAAGCACCAAACTGCGTCACAAGACAGGCCCTCACATGGAATCCTCAAGGTCGAAGGAGGAGAGGAAGACCGAAGAACACATTACACTGGGAAATGGAGATAGACATGAGAAAAATGAACAAGAATTGACTGGAACTAGAAGAGAAGGCCCAGGACAGAGTGGGTTGGAGAATGCTGGTCGGCGGCCTATGTTCCATTAGGATTAACAGGCCTAAGTAAGTAAGTAAGTAACTTCACTGCTAAATCAAAGCACAATTATTTTCCACTTAATTCATGTATTTTTGTCCTACCTCACTCCACTTGCTATTTCGATTATGCATATTCTTTAAATCACACACCAATCTGTCTATGGGGAAATTGTTTTCTTATCTAAACGAAATCAAGTCACTGACTAGTTGAAAGCTGAGCTTTACTATATGATGAAGATTGCGAATGAGCTCTTCTGAAAACAGATCTTCCATTCAAATTGGCCTGTTTCAATATTCGCATACTAATGCAGATAGGACAACAGATAGATCTAGCTAAATCTTTGAAAAGGCAATATCAGTGTTTGCTGTTTATCCATGACCTGTATTCAACATTCTGGTGAGGTGCTAAAAGTCTACCGTATATGTCGATATGTGTTATGAAGGTGATCCCAGTGATTTCCATATCGTGCTTCATTTTCAGAGGCTGTGATTGGTATGGGAAAGCTGAGAGATGGTTGATTTATGACATAGTCCAATAGTATGAAAGCTGTACAGGACTGGTATCTAATAGTCCATCACGATTCTCTGATCGGGAGATAGTGCAACTCAGTAGCTCGATGTCTTACCAGGCAAACCGATCGAGGCCATGATGTAGTTTCCTTTTACACTCTTTACAAAAGTGAAAGGAGATTCGTCTACTGAATGAATCCTTTCTGGTCATATGTTTTCTACTGATTGGTTTTTCCCATTGTATACTACTCACGTTCGCTTATTTTTATCTATCTATTTATTTAATTATACTCACCTTCATTCACCTATACCTTCACAATCTTATCTTCTTATTTGCATTGTGCATATGAATTTGGTGTCCATTTCTATCGATATTTTAGAACTACAATCAGAACATCACAATATAACCATCTGTTAGGTTTGAATTTTGTCAAACGTTTTATGAATAAAATATCATTTCAATCATCTTATTGAATTCATCATTATATCGGATTATCAGTAATATCGTGACAGACATTGAATGCTATGAGAATATATGTGTGACTAAACTTGATGGATAGTGATACTGAATTGTATTGACAATTCGTAGATATAACAAAGGTATAATTCGGAACAGTATCATATTTTCATTCTATTAGTGTTATTATTTATATATTGAATAATGATAGTAAAGTAAATGGTTCTTACCACGAGACCCATAAGATTACTGAATAACTTTTAATCCATTCACTGATCTGTTGGCTTAAAATAAATTTAATTCAAGTTTACTAAACAGTAACACAACATACATTAGAATAAACACATTCGTTCCTCCAAAAGTAATTGCAAACTGAAGAACTGTAATTCCGAGTACCTGTAAATAAATAAATTAGAAGATGGGAACACACAAAAGTAAGTAAAATTGGGATTATATTTTCCTAATATAAATAATTTTGTCATGTCAAATCAATTTCACATTTTTGGAGAATTCCCATGTTGTATGACTGAATTTACTTAAATCTAAGATGGAGAATCTCATAGAATAATCTATCTACTGAGTAGTTTACCGACTGCAATGTATATATTGTGGTGCGACAAATCAGAAGTCCTATTCATTAACAGGAATAGCTCCATTGAATCCATTGGATATCGAAGCAACACCTTCAGACCTTCCTATAATTGTCACTTCAACAACGATCAGAGAAATCAGGATGGCCATCAGACCAATCAACAGGGGGAGAGCAGCAGGATCAGACACTTACCAGATAAAGCACTAAAGTCAGACACAGAAGTAACTGCAAACATACTCCGCATTCTATTCAGGAAGATTTGAGAGGAGGAACTATTGCCGATGGACTGGAAAGAAGGACACCTCACCGATATGCCAAAGAAAGGAGATATGAGCAATTATGAGGATTATAGAGGATTCACACTGCTGTCAGTGCCAGGAGAGATTTTCAACAGAGTGTTTCTAAACCGGATGAAAGATTCAGTATACGTTCAACTTCGAAGTCAACAGGCTGGATTCTGTAGAGATCGGCCGTGCACAGACCAAATCGTGACACTACGGAACATCGTTGAACAATCCGTTTGGTGGAACTCGTCACTATACATCAACTTCATCGTTTATTAGAAAGCATTAGACAGTGCGGATAAGAGAACATTACGGAACCTTCTTCAACACTATGGTGTACCTGAGAAGATTGTCAACATTATATGGAATCGATCCGATGGACTAAACTGCAAACCCGTGCGTGAAAGATAGCTGACAGATGCATTCACAATGCATTCAGACAAGGCCGTCTACTCTCTCCCTTCCACTTTCTTTCTGATGGTCAACTGAATTATGAATACCACGATATCTGAGGGGAAGCACGGAATCAACTAGACGATCTGGACTTCGTAGATGACCTATCCCTCCTATTCCATAAACATCAACAAATGCAGGTCACGACAAACAGTGTAGCAGCAGCCTTTGCATCAGTGAGCCTAAACATACACAAAGAGAAGAGCAACATCTTCAGAATCAACACGGAGAACACTAAATCAATCTAACTCGATGGAAAAACTCTAGAATAGGTGGAAACTTTCACGTACCTGTTCAGCATCATCATCGATGAACGTGGAGGATCAGATTTAGACGTAAAGGAGAGGATTGGCAAAGCAAGGACAGCATTCTAACGGTCGAAGAACATATGGAACTCAAAATAGCCCTCTGTGTGCCAATATCAAGGTCAGAATCTTCAAGGCGAACGTCGAGATAGTTCTACTGCACAAAAATGAAACGGGGAGAACTACCATAACCAACATCAAAAAGTACGAGTATTTATAAACAATTGTCTGCACAACATACTCGATGTCCATTGTTGGTCAGATACTGTGGGAGAGAACAAACTGGCTTCCAACTGAAGAGGAAATTAGGAAAACATGTTGAAAGTGGATTGAAAGAAAATTGTGGGAATCATCGAACTGCATCATGAGGCAATCCCTAACTTGTAATCCTGAAGGGAAACGGAAATGAGAAAGAAGGAAAAACACACTACGTCGGGAATTGAAAGTAGACATGAAAAGGATGAATAGAAACTGGAAACAAATGGTAAGGATTGTCTAGGACAGTGTTGGATGTAGAATATTGGTGAGCGGCCTATGCTCCTCGAGGAGGGATGACAGGCGTAAGTAAGTATTCATTAACATGGTTCAATGGAATCAGTTATTGACTCCTAAATTTTCCATCATTGTATCCATAACTAACAGAGGAAACAGAATTGGTTCGAAACTAACTTCAAGTGTCACCAGCTTTAAAACACATTCCCACTTTTTAATTACCGAGTAACTTGCAAAGAAACAATTCCACTGTAGTGAAAACCACAAGTGGGTAGTGTGCTATCAACTATGTGCAATATTTGAATGCATCATCATTATCCGTATGAAAATAACCGTTTAAACTAAGTGAACAAGCATTCTGTCAATTGAACTAAAGTCTCTTTACTAAATGTGAATCATTGAATTTCTCTTCGTAAAATAATGTATATTAAGTTCAACGGTTACAAAGTCGTGAATAAAAATATTATCATAAAGGGATTTTGTCAATCCTTGTAGGAAATGACAGTTTATCCGATGGAAACTCTCAATTCTTAAAAAACATAATATTTCTAGCATACAAAGTAAGAAAGATATAAAATGATTGTTCAATTCTACATCAATCACTTTATGGATTGTAGTCATCACATCGACACAGATATATGAGTAGAAGCTATAAACTGCTATGTAGGAGAAAGAAATGAACTGTATATATCCAGACTAAATTGATAACAAGACTGTAAACAGTGATAATCAAGAGTTCTTGTAGGAATATTAGGGGCATGATGACGAAGAAAGCACACATAGATTATTTCAGCTTACATTCAATGCAAAAATATCATCATTATTTGAATACTGTCGCTGATTAATTGATGCCTCTTGTGAACTATCCGAATTGCAGCTTACTTCCTGTGTCCACACGTTGACCACTTTTCCGATTTTACAATTATGTATCATCCCTTCTATTGAGAGATTATGACAATTGATGGAATGCAATTTAGTGACGATTGAGTTGAATCTGGAAGGAAATCACAAATGAAAATATGAGGTCGTGTAATATGATCCTCGTGTAATAAAATTTCGTAACTCAGTTCCAAAATATTTGACTACACAATTGGATGTGAAGGATTTTCTGAATGAGTATTAACTCTATGCTAACTACAGATACCCCATATGGGTGATTGTCGAAACCGAATAGTCATCTATAATATTCAATTTGTGTGACTCTGATCAATCGAAACAGATTCAACTGAGTGTCGTCAAATTGTAATATGATCCGTGTCCAACGTTTATCACTCACTATCGATCGTCTCGAAACACTAAATACTAGTCGAAATGTACAGTGGATTTCAAATGCGATTCGATCCACAGTGATGAGATGATCACATGATAGTGATTGTGTTGTAGTGATTCAAGTGTATGATTCATGGATTGTCGTTTATCGTTAGTTTATTAAAACGGAAATGAGTGTGTATGGTGGATAACGTTTCTCACATTGTATGATATGTGATGAAACAATTTCTGAGATTAACCACATTTCACTCATAACCGATGAGACAATTGAAATGAGAATAGTGAGTCTCGTGAACTTCATTCGGTTTTCATCCTTAGTTGATATTCAGTCGCCGATGTATGTTTCACTATCAGGCCTTGATGAGACATCTAGTAGTCAATAGTATAAAAGGTAGAATCGATGAATACCTGTTGAATATTTTCCCGAAACGACTTTTGGTAATTTGTTGGTCAAGCTGATGATTTGATAAATATCACACACTGAATTGTCGGTCGGACTGGTAGTGTACGTAACGAATCAACACAATGATGGATGAAGGACAATCTAAGCCCTAATACCTATTGATCCTTGAGTCCTTCGTAATCCAGTGGTTAATCAGAAGACGATGATGGGTGTCAGATTCCACCATTCAATTATGACTCGAGATGAATCCAACAATGTACTTGAAATGCCTGATCATGTAGCATATTAAGTAAGAAATCACTGTTTAAGCATAATCACACTCTATGTGGTATATGGCGGGACAAACAAGTCATAATTGGTCAGCAGTAATTAGGGAACATCAAGACATTTGACATATGTATGTTACATCAATAATGTCATCCACTTTCACATATGATTAATAAGAGGTATGTGTCTTCATAATACTTTGAAATTAATGCAGACTGAACACTCAAAGCTAAATATAGAAATGATGGAATTTGTAAGTCAAATATTTAATAGTAGTATCACTCTTCCATAAAACTGAAATGAGCAGAATATGCTGACACTCAATTAAGTATCATATAAAACAAACGTAATGCATAAATCTCTATTATCCATCTAAATAACTAGCAATTGACTGGGAATTAGTGACTGATTTAGAAGTGGGTTTTCCGAAATTCTCGTGAGAAAGTGTGACGAGTTAATTGATTTGAAAATGAAATGAATAGAAGATACAACCAAAATAAAGAAGAAAACAATAACTGGTTAGAGTTGAACAATAGCCAATCAATATCGATGTCTGCAGGACAAGTTGTGAGCCACATGTGGATGAATTCGAATACTTCACTTCTACATGAAGTTCGTGCTGACGAATAATGATGATGGCTCCACAACCAAGCTATCCAGCTCAGAGAAGAATACTCCGTCATTACCAACCACATCAGCTACAAATCTTCCCCACCATCTCTAAATCGGTTGATGGTTACTCATGCTATATTATCAAGTGACTGGAGTTGAAAATTGTGATTTACGTGATTTCGTGGAGTTCCGACTCAGTGGTTATTTGACATCATTTCCATTGCAAGAACTGGAGATCTTATGTTTAATTCAGTGGGAAGTGATGGATACTCACTTCTGTGTAGTTCTGAACTATAAAGAAACAGCCGTTTAGGGCGACACAATTTTCAATGGGTCTCTTAACGATATCGATTCGTGATGAAAACTCTTGCGAATTACTGTACACAATTTAACAAGCCACCTGAATATTCCATCTGATATAGAAAATTAATAATAAATACAGTTATAACTGCAAAGATTTCATATAAATATACTAAATGATATAACCATCATGAGTCGGTCGCCAACAGACTTTGGTTAGACAACCACTGAAAATCAATAGAAACTACAACGATTATATATTACTGTATATCGTATTACTTTAGTTGAAACCATCTTGGATGTGAAACTGGTGATGTTCTTTCACTAGTTGATTGATCGGAAAATTTGATCATATTTGTATAGTCCACAAATTGTAATACACTCTACGAACCTGTTTATTCATTTACTTCAATATAATCAATGATTTGGTTATGAAAAATCCACCTGCTGAAATATGGTATCCACAATGTTTTCTCATTAATCTCTATGCAAGTGATAGATATGAATGTGTTCAATTGATATTTACCGATTCATATTCATGTCCACTTCACTGAATAGCAATAATACAATGTGTATATGCATAAACCTTGGATAATCTGCATTGAACTTTGTCTAATCAGTAATAATAGCAATTTCAAGTAATAGTCACTTTATAACAATCATGTTTGTATGAATAAATGAACTTTGAATTGTGTTATATAATGTTGAAATAAGCTATTAGTAATTCATTCATTGATTCATTCAGATTTCACATTTCTTACTACTTAAAGAAGTTAGTAGTATGTTGAATTATGCACCACAATAGTTTGAAGAGAGTACAATCATCAATTGACTGATATAATTCTATTTATATCTAATAGAAATAAAACTGCATAGGGACTGTGTTTGGAACCCCTTCTTGGGCTGCTACCCATCCCAAGCATGGATAAAGGAGGAGGGTTGGGCATGTGATTAGCGACCTCATCTGGAGTAAACTAACTCACCAAAATTGTGTTAACCATGAAACGGTTAACAGAACGTTTTAAATATTTGAAATTAACGAAAAACGACTGACTAACGTAGTACTACCATGTAGTTCGATTGAAGTCATCACATGATGCATTAATTAACAGATGAAATTAATGTCATAGTAGTTTCCTTCTAACAACAACAACAACAACAACAACTGAATATAAACCAAAAGTGACAGAACAATAAAAGAGTTAACAAGACTCTTATCAAATATCATTATTATTATTTCTACTAGTAATTGGTTAACATTTGATGTGATTTAAAGAGACTTAGTTTTAGGCTGGATGCGTTCTCTTCAACACTGAACATTCTGGATTCAATCATACTAGAAACTCAATCAACTTCAAAGTTGAGTCGTATTTAGTCATTTATTCTCTACGTTGAAGTATTCCATCCCCTTCTCTCTTTTCTCCCATTCTAATTAATCAGTTTAATCGGTAACCATTACCTCACAATCACTTTTAACCATACTTGATTCGTCTCTGATCTTTCTTGAAAAACACAGTTTTACTACACAATCTAATCGTGTTCTAACCAAAACTCTTTAAGCCTGATTTGACAAAAACTATTGAAATCCAATCAAAGTCAAATGCGAGTGTCTTTATGATGAGAAAATGTTTAATGTTGGACGTTTACTCTGTGTTCATATAAAGTATATTCTGAAGTTTTGTTTGTAGTGTGAAAATGAAAACATGGTGACCAGAGTAAATATTCGACATAATCGAGTCGACGGTTGGTTGATAGATATTTTTGTCGATATAAAATGTGGGACATCACATGTTAAATGATGTTTCAAATCCACGTAGTAAATGAAATTTCGGTGGTATATTAACGTGACCAGGGTAATTGCCTACATGTTCCTGTCATCAGTCTGACCACCATAAATAGACTACCTCTCGATGTTTGGATCGTTCAAACACAATGATGGCAGACTACAAAATTCTCGACTTATTTATTACTGACTCCTGGAAACTGCAAACACCAGCCAACCAAACTAATTTGGAACTACATTGGTAAAATTTCACCATATACAAACCAGTACTCTAAGACAGCAGAACTTTTCATGCTCCAATTCTGTCAGTCATATTAGACTACCTAAACTTCAACATAACTTCAATCATAATTAAACAGATGCTGACATTTTTCAATCTGAAATGTAATCTCTACAAATCAAGAACTATGATACTAGGATATTGCAATTATAATCATCCAAACAACTGTAGAAACACTGGAGAATAAATCTAAAATTATTTCATTCTTTTGAAGGTATAACTCTCCCACTGAATTTTATCTGTATTTTATAAACCATAACAATAAAATTTGAAGAGATATGTTTAGCCGCTCCTTTTCCCTTATCCAACTTATGGTTTAATTATTTAATAATCATTATGATATGATGTAGTATTCGATTAGTGTTCATTTCCATAGCTTAAATCTATCTTATTCACACATCATATCATCAATACTATCACTACTATTATTATTATCATTGCTGTCATCATTATCATAAGAACTGCCAGCGTTTTTGAGGAATTTACTAATTCATACCCAATCCTACACGTTACGTGATCTCTAATTTGCAATTACATTATTCTCTCTTTCACCCCATGTTAATCATATTTATTCTGATCACTTATCTCACAACTTCATTTCACTTATAAAATGACTAACGTTAACACTTTATGTTAGTGGTCCCAACATTATTTTACCCTAAATTCAGATGCTACAATTTTAAATGATATACTTTGCCTTAATCTACGTATCTCATGAGGAACATCAGATAAGTATTCATATAACAAAAAGGAAATATTTATTGTTAGTCGGATTCGATTTCTATGACGGTCAGTAAATTTACCACTTGAGTCACGGACAGAAAGCATTCGCATTAAGACACGAACGGTGTTATCTAGTTTCTGATATAGTGTGTTGTATGCTACCTATGCTGACAGATATAAGTAGTGGAATACCTGCAGTAGATTGGAGTAAAGAGAACAGGGAGAAAATGAGTGAGCAACCGAAATAACAACAGAATTAGAGGAATAGTGAGGTTCGTAAAGGGTAATGCAAAGATGAAGAAATGATGTATCTAATATACTGTTTTCATATTTTAATAAGCTACCATGTGATTTCGCACGAAATAATACATTGGTTATTCCCACTTGACTTCTCGTTCACTACGATAGGATTTTATTTGAGTGGATGCTTCGTACCATTTAGTCAGTAATGGATAAACAACTTTATCAGACACCAGCACTCCACCTGTCTCCAACGAATCAGATCTTCACAGATATCCAGTAAGTGTTATTTGAACAATCCAGATTCCAATAGTTGATATAGAAAAGAAAATTTTTGTCAACCGGCTAATTTGACCACACATACATAATGACCATCGAACAGCGGATCCGTCCGAAAACGAAGTACTAAAACTCCACGAAACGACACTTTGTCCACTATCGGTTCTTGCCGCATTCTTTCTGACTACGCCTTAGATCAAGCTTTATTTTACCCAGATATCCTACAGCGATTCTATTGTCGAAATCTCAAAACTGAAATATGTAGGCGACAAAAATGGATATGTGGTCACTGATATACATACACTGATATATATATATATATATATATATATATATATATATATATATATATATATATATATATATATATATATTGGTAACCTTTGTCGTTTTAATTCTTTTCGTTCATCTATGTCAATTGTTTCACATTATATTTTATTTCAATGTTAACTTTGAATAAACATTGTTGTAAGCAAATATAATGAATGCATATTATTCTGCGTCATGGCTTGTTCTGGCTTTATTCAGTTATTTGTTCATAGAGAGGTGTTCTGGAACACTTCTGAATGTTTTATGGGTCGTAAGCCATATATAATCGCTGACACATTCGCTTTAATTGCTAGATAACGTATAGTGCTTGGTACAGTGTGTCTAAGTGGAAGGTGGACGACGTGCATTTATCGTTTAAGCATTGATAAAATCAAGTGTACTATCTCCTTTATCAATATTATTCACCATAAAGGCTCTAGACACGTTAATTTCTAAATGTCTCATTATCTCAATGTAGCTGATGGCGTTTTGTTCTCTGAGCTGGATGGTTATATATAACAAAATCTTTAATTATATTCCAGGTAATTAGTATTTCCCACTTTAATTAACATTCACTTCAATAACCCAATTTATTGTATATGATATCCTATCTGTTAATTAAAGAGATTGAAGCTACATCAGACTAGAGGAGAAAGCTTCAATAAACATAAGGAAGTGAATGAGATTAACTGTTTGTTTTCTTCTGAATTCTTTTATATACGTTGATGAATATTTATCATTAGATGTATCCCTTTAAGAATTGCTTCAAGATGAATTTGATGAAATGGATCAATACTGGAAACTTGAATAACGTTGATTGCAACAATATACATAGATGTGTCAATGAATATAATAATAATGATACTTAAGGATAGTCACCATTGTAGTTCATCAAAGTGAAAACAAATCAAAGATATGTTGTATATTTATTAAATAGTGAACATCGGTGGAGGTAGTATCATACCCCTTGTATACTCATAACAAATGTAACAACAAATGAAGTAGAAATCTTCATCAAACATAGGCATAATTAATGAGTCAAGAATTTGAGCGAACAATGAACTAATGGACGCTAATCATATTATGATGAAGCTGACAATTATGTAGCAGAACAAAAAAAAGATATTAATCTATAAAAACTAAGACTGTATGTGTGTTAGACATATTTGAGATTGTATTCGTGAATGTTTAAAGTTAATTGATGACTAGATAGTAAGAAAACTCGTGTATGTGTAGTGCTTCTTCGTGCTAACGAAATTCTATCAATCAAGCTGTATTATAGTGACTGATCGAGGCGCAAATAGAACGAGGCATAGTTCCAGATTTCCTGTCAACTACCACCAACCACCACCTCATATATCAACGACGTAATGAATTCTTTGGACGAATACTACACAACACTCGCTATTTCTTTGTACTATTATCATCACTACCTTGTATGTATAAACGTGTACTCTTGATCACATGACAGTCTACGCACATATCTGTAGAGCCAGTGAAATGTCACTGAGCCCTAGACAAATCATCCGACACTTGGGTCACGGAATATCGAACAGATCATTGATCCCTGTCAAAGTCAAGGATAACCACCGAGCATCAATTAGTCGTTCGCCATCGACTGGCTCATGAGGTGGTGGTCACACTTTCACTTCTATCTACTTTAACTAATGTATTTCTGTAGTAACGTATTTTATGTTGTACGGTCTTCACAGCATCCATAGTACCTTGATACTATGAAGAGGTAATCCACATTAGGTTCTGACCGAGAGATGTGACTTCGACGTTAGCTGTTGGCCACACCATTCCTGTGTAACTCGAGTAGGCCTCCAATCATTCGACAGAGACAAATCAATAGTGGGATAGCAGCAGGACCTGACAATATACCAGCTGAAGCTCTGAAGTCAGACATAGAAGTAACTGCAACATGCTCCATGTTGTATTCAAGAAGATTTGTGAGGAAGAACACGTAGGG